AGAGAAAAGGAAATGCTGAGGGCAGAGAAGGAAGATGTGTAGAACTATGATAACCATATCTCTTGACATAACTATCATAACTATGATAACCGTAACTACAATAAATCTTGTGAGTCCCTTGGACTCTACAAGAGATGGAACAAGTCAATCCTAAAAGAAATCAACCCCCGAATACTCATTGGAAGGACTGATGCAGAAGCTGAAGCTCCAAAACATTTGGCCACCTGCTGTGAAGAGCTGACTCACTGATGCTGGGAAGACTCTGAGGCAGGGAAAGTCTGAGGCAGGAGAAGAAGGGGGTGACAGAGGATGAGGTGGTTGGATAGCATCACCGACTCAATGAACACGAGTTTGAGCAAACTCTGGGAGATAGTGCAGGACAGGGAAGCCTGGTGTACTGCAGTCCGTGGGGTGGCAAAAAGTCAGACACGACTTAGCAACAGAACAACAAATAACCAAGGAGTGGAATATTCCCAGAGGGTAAGTTGTACAGAATAAAAGGAAGAGGCACAGAGGGAAGCCTAAGAAAAACAGATAATGAGGATGAGAGTCTGGCTGAGAACAAGCCAGAGGGGTTATGTCTTAAGTGGTCACTATGAAATGGGCCACAGCTCTGTCAAGAGGCTTAGTCCCAACAGATCCTTGGTGGATTAGGATAGGGTGAGGATAGGTGAGCTGGCTTTCAGAATTCAGCAATGGTCCAGACAGAAGTCCTTTTAAAGGCAGTCTTAGCTTCTGATAATTAGAAAATCTCCAACCAGTCCGAAATCAGCTGTGGGAACTGATGATATGGCTGCAGATTCAGGGACTCCCAAGAGCCAAGGCTAACACATAATCCAACTCAGGTGATACAAAGACACTTTAGCAACTTGAAGATAAAGAAGGTTCACTTAATCACAACTTGTATGGTGTGTGCTCCGTCTCGTTCAACTCATTGCGGTCCCACGGACTGTAGCTCACCAGGCTCCTCTGTCCATGGGGTTTTTCAGGCAAGAACACTTGGGTGTGTTGCCATTTCCTCCTCCAGAGATCTTCCTGACCCTGGGATCAAAACTGTTTCCTGCACTGGCAGGCAGATTCTTTACCACTAAGCCACCTGGAAACTTTAGAAATAACATCCACACGTTCAGGAGGAAGGAGGTAGAGCTAGTAGGTGTGCTATTAGTAATTAAAATCATTTTAACAAATTGTTAAGAACCAAGTCTATTAATGAGACCATCCAGGCTATTTCATAGCTAAAAACGTACCAGACCTCATTAACTCTTCTCAGAGGAGTCACCAGGCATTGAAATCCATTGTAATTCCTAAATTTTGTAGCTACTTAAATCTACAGTGTCCAAACATCTTTATTCCACAACATAGTAAAAAACTAGAGACACGTGGCCACTCAGTCGTCCAGTAACAATTCTCACCTCAAGGCCTTGAGCCTGTGAAGTCCTCCTGGCAAGTTCCTCCCACCAATATCTGATCAGCAAAGCTGTCCAAATGTCATCCCACTAGAAATGCTTTCTTGGCCCATCCTACTTAAAAACAGTAAACCCTTCCCAATCACGTATTTAGTGAAGAGTAATATACACCCTATCTCAAACTAATTACATGGTGTAATTAGTTTTCAGTTAACTGCTGTTTTATCTGCTTATCTTTCAATTTTTGAGAGAGGAAAAAGATGTATTAAAATCTGCAGTTGTAAAGGAAACTATAAGCAAGGTGAAAAGACAGCCCTCAGATTGGGAGAAAATAATAGCAAACGAAGCAACAGACAAAGGATTAATCTCAAAAATATACAAGCAACTCCTCCAGCTCAACTCCAGAAAAATAAATGACCCAATCAAAAAATGGGCCAAAGAACTAAACAGACATTTCTCCAAGGAAGACATACAGATGGCTAACAAACACATGAAAAGATGCTCAACATCACTCATTATCAGAGAAATGCAAATCAAAACCACAATGAGGTACCATTACACGCCAGTCAGGATGGCTGCTATCCAAAAGTCTACAAGCAATAAATGCTGGAGAGGGTGTGGAGAAAAGGGAACCCTCTTACACTGTTGGTGGGAATGCAAACTAGTACAGCCACTATGGAGAACAGTGTGGAGATTTCTTAAAAAACTGGAAATAGAACTGCCATATGACCCAGCAATCCCACTTCTGGGCATACACACCGAGGAAACCAGATCTGAAAGAGACACGTGCACCCCAATGTTCATCGCAGCACTGTTTATAATAGCCAGGACATGGAAGCAACCTAGATGCCCATCAGCAGACGAATGGATGAGGAAGCTGTGGTACATATACACCATGGAATATTACTCAGCCATTAAAAAGAATTCATTTGAATCAGTTCTAATGAGATGGATGAAACTGGAGCCCATTATACAGAGCGAAGTAAGCCAGAAAGATAAAGACCATTACAGTATACTAACACATATATATGGAATTTAGAAAGATGGTAACGATAACCCTATATGCAAAACAGAAAAAGAGACTCAGATGTATAGAACAGACTTGTGGACTCTGGGAGAAGGCGAGGGTGGGATGTTTCAAGAGAACAGCATTGAAACATGTATATTATCTAGGGTGAAACAGATCACCAGCCCAGGTTGGGTGCATGAGACAAGTGCTCGGGCCTGGTGCACTGGGAAGACCCAGAGGGATCGGGTGGAGAGGGAGGTGGGAGGGGGGACCGGGATGGGGAATACATGTAAATCCATGGCTAATTCATTTCAATGTATGACAAAAACCACTGCAATGATGTAAAGTAATTAGCCTCCAACTAATAAAAATAAATGGAAAAAAAAAATCTGCAGTTGTAATTTGGTATTTCTACTTCTCTCTTCAGCACTGTATTTTTGCTTGATATAAACTAAGGTGTAAGTAAGTGCATGTAAGTCAACAGTAGACATATCTTCTCATATTTTTATTGAGATGACTGAGGCAACAGTTTCAGGTGTACAACACAATTCACTGTATGTACAAACTGCAATATGATCATCACAGTAAGTCCAGTTAATATGTATCACTACAGTTAAAAAATTTTCAATTTTTTACCATTTAATTTTTAGTGTTAAATTTGTATTTTTATCAGTGTATAAATAATTCCTCTTTGCCACTGTATTCTGCATTAAATTCTATTCAAACTATTACTCCATCTTTATTCTGGTTCATATTAGCTTGCTGTGTTTCTATCTCCATGCTTTTATTTCAAGTGTATAAATAATTTTAATACAATCTAAAAATCTGAGTTTAACCCATTTATTGTCATCAGTGGTCCATCAGAATTTTTCATTCACTGTAATCTTTGTTCCTCTTTTTCTGCTTTCCACCAGATAAATTTTCTTCTTTTATATTTGTTTTATGATAGTTTTTAATAATCACATTTATGTTTGTGCATAGTGAAAAATTCATCAATTTCTTAATCTTTTCAATGTAAGGTCCTCTTAAGGCACTTCAGCTCTTACTTTAAGTCTGTACCTCCAACTCCAGCCCTAATGGTAATGCCTAGAATTTTAATTGTTACATTAAAAATAACTTGGTAACAGTAAACTCTGCAAAGTTACTTGATCACTCTTCTCGTTGTATCTCTAGGAACATCTTCCCGATTCTGTTACCTCTTAATATTGTTCCAAAAGCATTTTCTACCAGGACCTTTCTAAGGCAAATCTGAGGTTTCTATGACTAAGGATATTTTTAAATGCTATCATCTTCTAATGCTAATTTGCTTGGATATACAATTTTAAGCTCAAAGTAACTTTCCTTCAATCCTTAAAAAGCCTTTCAATCTTCTTACATTCAATAATGCTTTTCAGAAACCTGATTTTTCTTCACAGTAATTATCACTACCTGACATTAGATAAAAATTTGTTTGCTCTCCCCTACTAAAATATAAACTCCATGAAAATAAGGACACTTTTGTTCACTACTGTGTTTGTCATACCTGGAACAATGTCTGACACATAGAAGATGCTCAATAAAACATAGACTGAATCATATAGCTTTTCACCCTGTGGGCTTTGCCTGCTAAATGCATTCCTCAAGGAAGAAACCAGGGATTTCTTAGCAGTCCAGTGTTCAGGAGACTCAGTGCTTCCACTGCAGGGGGCACAGGTTCCACCCCTGGTCAGGGAAATAAAACCCACAAGCCATGTGGCACGGCCAAAAAAGAGAGAAACCACAAGAAACCTAAAGTCAAATTCTGAAGTCATGACACAATCACACGAATCTGCCTTTTCCTATCTGTTCCGATAAACCGGGCAAGCTCAAAGGACTTTTCATGCCGAGACTAGAGATCTCACTAAGTACTTGGCTCTCAGATGCATCTCCTTTAGGTTTATCATTATTCTCCTGTAGCTTTCCAAAACTAAAAGGTCCTCTGCCAAACTTGGGATAGGGTGGAGGGACACGACTGAGGGACATGATACAAAACCCTCACTAAAAAGGATCCCTATCCACAGTCCAGGTTTGCCACACTTACACTCTAAAAGTGGGATGGGAGTAAAGAGATACAATCTCTACACACAGAGGAACATACCACTGGATCTCACTAATCCCAGTGTCACTCTCTTCCTGCCTTCCACACCTTAAACCTAACTGCCCACATCTCCACTGTACCCACCCTACGTAACTCAGAAACTCCAACGATCCCAATGGAATCCTTTTTAAAGACTGCTGTTGAAAGCACAATTTACACATAAATTATGATTAACTGGCATCTTTTAAAGAAATGGCACTTACTGACAGTAACATGACAAATTACATGTTTCCCAGGGTATTTAGTGACAAAGATAGCCTACTTCTAATATTATTAAAACACTAAAAAGAAGCCAAGCTGTTGTGGCACTAATACTGGTAGGTGGTTATTTTTTAAAAAATAAACTTGTAAAACTAAGATAATTTTGTATTCTCTCAAAGAAAAACACTTTGCAAAAATATTTTGATAGTGTAAAGCAATAAAAAAAACACAAATAAGCAATTTTGATAGTATGAAGCAACAACACAAACACAAGTACAAAATAATTTATTACAGCATTATATAGGTTGGCATTATTTTACACTGAATTCTTTTCCCTCAACAATTATGAATCTAAATATTAACTTAGTGTGAAGGAAAACAATTTTAACTAGAACAGTTTCTCTAAATAAAATCTCTTTTGAATTTATATTTGTCTTAAAAGGAAGTATTAAAGTTACAGACATATGGTTCTGAAAAAAACATATTCAATGATGCTATTACTGTTTTCTGTACAAGATAGAACAAAAGCTATCCCCCCCCAAATATTGCTCAACAACACTATGTTTTAATAGTTACACTGTTGCAGGGAGGAAGCCAATTCTGACTCCATGTTGGAAATGGTTTCTTTGACTTGCTTTTGTTATGATCATACTTAATGGCTTGGCTGGAGGACCCTGGCCCTGTGCTTGCCTATAAACTAAAGTGCCTTTGTTCAGAGCCCTGTCTACCTGCAGATGGCCGAAGGGGGAGATTAACACATCCCCTGACTGAAGCCTGCCGTTCTGGAAGATGTTTGCAAGACTCAGAGTCTTTCTACTTTGCTTCCTCACCTCCCCCCATCTCTGATCTATAGAAGAATCTGGCATCCAGACCCTGTGAGATGGTTATTTGAGGCCCCAGGCCTGCCATCTTCTCGGTCAGCTGCTTTCCAGATAAAGTCTCTTCCTTGTCTCAACAGCTCGTCTCTGGGATTCACTGCCCTGTCGTGTGGCAAGCAGAGTGAGCTTGGACTCGGTAACAGAACTAGCTGATGGTCTAGATTCCCCTTTTGCTGATATTAAAACGTATTTAATAGTCAGTGTATAGCTAAAAGAGTAAAAACACCTCACTGAAAGTTGTCTTCTGCCCCATACGCCCTCCTGAAGCACACCACTCACATACAGATTACTTAGACTACCTGGGAACACACAAAGCAGTTCAGTCAAAAAAGCGTAATTCTCGCCTGTGGATCTTCAAGTCTGACCTAGATATGCTACAAATTCACCACTGAATTTTCATGATTAAGAGGCAAATGGATCCCCAAACCCTGAATCATCAACATAAAACTGCAGTACCCTTATTCAACAGACAATAGCATTTTCATGGATATTAAGAAGAAAACGGTACACCAGAAAAAAATTAAGGTGGACAAAGTATCACACTAAAGTTAAGCTTTAAATAAATATTTGCCAAAAGGAGTTCCATACCATTTCTGACATACAGTTAATACTTGAATGTTGATGTGCTTTAAAAAGCAAACAGACAATAACAAAGCAAACCAAGAAGGGATCAAAACATAGAATTCTGAAATGAAACCTGAATCTAAAGAAAATAATACAGTGGAGCTGGATTCAACTTAGGTTAATTAAGAAATTATCATCATTACAATATGAAGTGACAGCAACCATCACAATGCTAACAACGGAAAAATTTACAACTGTACAAGAACAAACAGGTAATTTTAACAGATTTTTACGTAAAGTGGCAGAGTCAGGTAAAGAATAAAATAAGCTTACGGAATACTCCATTCAAAAAAATGATATCCAAGCACAGCTGACCTTTGTGCAAAGCAACAGTTAGGTGCGCTGACACTCCATGTAGTCAAAAATACACATACACTTATAGTTGGCCACCTGTGCACACACAGTTCCTCCCTACCTGGGTTCTGCATCAGATTCAACCAACTGCGGACGACAGAGTAAGGTAGTATTTACTACGGAAAAAAATCAACACATTAAGTGGATCCTTGCAATTCAAACCCATGTTGTTCAAGGGCCAACAGTATTTCATTTCTTATCTATATTAAAATACAAGCTGGAAAAAAATAAATAAATAAAAAAAATAAAATACAAGCTGGAAAAGAAACCTTGACCTGAATTCAGCTTTGAGTCTAAGAGATGTCAACTTTCTAGAGGATTTCAAGTTTCATTTGCCAAGACATCACAGTTGGCTGTGTGGTTCAGAGCCGCGCGGTGACTGCCGAATTCGCTCAGAGTGGGCAGGAAAGCAGAAGTGAAGGGAAGCAACTTGTGACAGGCCATCCTGTACTCCTCATACTGGGAGTTGCAGCTCCCAAAGCTGCCATCGAGCAGCGCCTCAGAAACCTTTGTTAAAGTCTATGTAAACAAGGAAAAAATGAAAGTTATTTAAAAAATAGTCTGGTTAATAATCACCTTAATCAAAAGATGTAGTTTGTTAATTAAGCAATAGAAAATCAAGAAGGCCTCACCCAAAAATAACTTCTTGCTATCTATAACAAGTAATCACCACAAAAAAGAACACTTAAAAAATCATTTCTATGAGGCCTTGAAAAAGCAACAGAATTCTAATACTTTAAAAAGGTGAATCTCTGAAACTATAATCATTTAAGTGAAGCTGCTCATTCGTATGTGACTCTTTGCAACCCCATGGACTGTAGCTTACCAGGGTCCATGGGATTTTCCAGGCAAGAGTACTGGAGTGGGTTGCCATTTCCTTCTCCAAGGGATCTTCCCGACCCGGGGATCAAACCCGGGTCTCTCACATTGCAGGCAGACGCTTTACCCTCTGAGCCACCAGGAAAGCCATGATCATTGAAAGTGTCCTTTATTAACAGTAATAGTTCCCATTTACTGAGTGCTTACTACATGCCAAGCACCTCACAGTTTACTATTTCAGTTAACTGTTATGCTAACTCTGAGATGGACCATATTTTCATCCTCAACTTATAAATGAGGAAAAGGATGCTAAAGAGGTAAATTGCCTAACATGATACAGCTCACAGCGAGCAGAGCTGAGATTCAAATCCAGACGTAACTCTGAAGGCACACTCAGGAATTACGTTGCAAAGAGAAGTTTTGTTAGCTCACTCGGTATCCACAATCTGTGGCAACAGGCTTGTGAAAAATCTTACCTTTACATTTTTATCTTTTATAGTTTCATCCAGTCTAGTGGCAATAGCAATTGCTTTCTCTTGCCTTGACTTGTCCAGAAAATACATCATTTTAGCACCTGAAATGCCAAGACATTTCAAAACCAGTAAATGTGGACATCTTACATTTGATCTGAACCGACCAGTGACGTAAAATGTGGCTCCAGGTATCCAGTCAGCAGTGGGCTGCACACAACTGTGGCCTTTTTTCCCTAACTCCCTATTCCATGATATCCCACTGACAGCTTGGGGCCACAAGGAGAGTATTCGTACTATGTTTAGACACATACAAAAAAAGCCCCCTACCAACTGGGGCTTTTTCTATGATAAAAGATGGCTGTGAAACATTTACCAGGACCAGGGTTAACAACCCCACCCCTCAGAAATGTAAATATGGGCTACCCCTGTGGCATCAGTCAGTATTTCAACTAAAATCATTTCTGAAACATGATACTCTAAAATAGAACACCTAAGGAACAAACTGTTATCAAAGAGCAGTGTGATAGATGGACAACAAGAAAATCTTTGCATATTCATGAAGAAAGTCCCTTTTAGAGCTATTCTGAAGTAAAATCCAATTTATGTTCCCCGTAAACTACATGGTCCATGTTCCTTTTTCTGCTGGTCTTTTATTGATTTGTATGTTTATTATTGATCTATTAGATTAGTATGTGTACTGCTAAATTTAATCAGTTACACATCTGTGAGTATTTTCCCTTCTTGGCCTTTTGATTTTCTTTATGGCTTTTTCTTTTTTAGTGAGGCAAAAATTATCTTTTTCTGAGAACATCACATAATGCTTAGAAAGGCATTTCCCATTATTATTAAGAACTATCTTCTTCCATTATCCTGTGTTTTTGATGAGAAATTCTCACCTGCCCTTACTACCAAGAAGTACAGTAATTTTTCATAGGAATTAACTTTTTCATAGGTAACAGAACCAAGCAGTTTCCCTTTACAACAAGAAAGCTTAGGTTAAAATATTTAAATACATGGCTTAAAGTAGGAGCATAGCTAATTACATTCTGTACTTCATTTATTTTGTTCCCAGTTCCGTTTAAAGTCTTTTTCTAGTTTGCATTTAATGCCACTTTGTCATTTTATGAACTTGTATAGACTGTCTAAAATCCTTCCTCTAACAGGGCAGGATACAGTTAAGTCCTTAAAACACAAAATACATAAAGTAATAAAAATACAAGAAAAAATAAGTCTCACATAACCTCAACATTCAAAGTCAATCATTAAAGCTTTAATACACGCTTCTCTTTAGCTTTTATGATATGTATATTTTTACATAGTTGAGACTGTATTATATATTAATTATATATATATATTATAAAAGTGTTTGCTCCTGTTATTACAAATCTTTTGAATAAATATCACTTTCTATCTGGCAGTCCATCCTGCAGTCCTACTGCTGTTTCTCCTATAACTGGACATGCATTAAATTTGCTTCCATTCTCTTCCCCATCCTTAACACACAGAATTCCAGTTAATACCTTTGACCTTAAAACTCTTTCTTTGCTTGGATTCTTTAAAATTATTTACACAAGTATGTATAGCTATAGCAAAAGACAAAGTTCTTGATAAGAACGACAAACTGTTTTCCTACTTGGTCAGACCAATTCACACCTTCAGCAGTAAAATAAGAGACTGCTTATACACTACAGCTTTCCCATACTTTAGCCTCCTTTATTCAAACAGGAATAACCTTTCCTTTTAGGTGGTAGGTTAGGTTAGAGATTTTTCTTATTTTCAGGGGAAGGCTTGTACGGCTATGAACTTCTCTCAAGAATGCTTTGGCGGCATCCCATAGATTCTGTACGGTTGTGTTTAAAAATAATCTTTCCTAATTTGAAAGAAAATGGTACTGTGTTCCTTTCTTTTTCTCTAATAGTTTGATCATCTTGCCAAACTTTTTTTTTCATCATATTCTAACTTTTTGCCATAAACATTTTAACCCCGGGAGCTAAACACCAACCTGAAAGTAGATGCTGAAGAGAGGCAGCATTATGTTTGAGAAAATCCTCATTAAAACTTTCCAAATCCTTGTTAACAAATATTTTCTGCATTTCCTGAGATAGAACTTTGCTCACGGTGTCTGGAAGATTACTGTGATTAGACACTATTAAAAACAGAACATTTGCAGTTTACAGTATGTCTGAGCTGTCCTTTGAAACAAAATCAATTGAAATACATTCATATTCATTATTAAGCCTGATATATTTTACATAATAAAAATAGGAGTGCTCCTTTGGAATATAAAAACATTCCAGCTTAAAATGCACTAATTTCTAACATATCTTTGCTAGTATCTTCATTTAAGTACTTTGCAAACTTTTTTCTTTGTACTAATCTCTTTCATGTCCAGCTTAATAGAAGACAAGTGAACTGTCATAATTACTTTTACATAAATATTACTTTTTATACTTACCAGATTTAGAAAATTTAATTAAACATTCATGTAGCCATGGGTTATTCCTGTTGATGGCAAAAGCTCTTTTAACAGACTGCAGCATTAACAGAAACTTTCCTATGTCAGAAAAAATTAGAACAGTAACAGCATCAATATTTAAGTATGTTATTTTATTCCCTTTATTTTAGCCTCACTTAAAATTCAGAAATATAGTATTATCTTTCCTATAATCTTCAAAAGCAAAATTCAAAGTTGATTTTGGTTATCAGAGACAACTTTTATTTTCTAAAGAAATGCTTGAAAAATCATGAAGAATTACTTCAGGTAAACAATCTGTATGCCTGTTCAAATAATTCACTTGATCATAATATTCTAATCCATTACTCAGTAAAGTTTCGAGTAACAAAGGAAAAAGGTATTAAGAGTCTTTGTGGGAGGTTGAAATGAAGATCTGAGAAACAAAAAGAGATCTAACTCACAAACATTATACTGAATATGGTCACCAATAAAATAAAAAATGAAAATCTGAATCCAAACTATTACCTTTTCTAAAATATATTTCAAATGCTAATAGATGAGTGTCAATGTTATCAGCAACAAGGTTCTTAAGAGGTATAAGAAACTTGATAGCTTCTTCTAATGGATTTTCTATCTATTTTGAAACAGAAAGAAAAATTATTGTATTTAAAAAGCAGTCACACAAGTCAAATTTACCCCCAAATTTTATACTAATGCATAGCTGAAGTAATCTAGATAGTTCTTTTTATATAACCTAGAAGCAAGAAAAAAATTTAAAACTACCAACTATAAACAAAGTACTGTCAATACTTTTCAAAATGGAAATAGCTCTATTGTTTTCATGATTATAAAATTCAAAATAATTTTCTAAAAATAAAAAAATACAGAAAATTATTCTGTAGACTTAATGAAGTGGTACTACAAGTACCATTATGCTACCAAGCCCCTTAAACTATAGACATTTTAAAGTAAGGAGACAAATACAACTGCATGACATAATTGAAAAAAAGGCAAGTTTAAAATACTTATACTAGATTCACAGTGAATAAACCAAAAAGCTAAATATTTCCCTAAATCTGGTTCCTAAATATTAATATTTTGAAAAAAATTGTGGAGATAAGGTCCTATTCTCTTTGCAGCTAAAACATTTTCTAGAAAAGTATATAAAATGCTGCCATATTTCACTGTATTGTTGCTCTAACAAATTACCAAAAATGTACTGTATTAACGCAAATTTAGGGATTTCTCTGGCGGTACTATGGTTAAGACTCTGTGCTCCCAATGCAGGAGGCATGAGTTCAATCTCTGGTTATGACAGGGACAAAGCAGGTGATTAAACAGCTAAACCCATGAGGGAATTTAAGTAGAAAAAATACGAGAGACCTCTTTAAGCTAATGATTACTCAAAGAAAGCAGGTTCACTTAACCACAAAACCAAGCAGCCTTGCTTGGCAGCAAAGCCATGCAACAGAAGCAAAGGATGTGCCCCGAAACAGTAAAAAAAAAAATGGCGGCATGAGGCCCACATCCGGCCCAGCGAGCTCAGGGCCTCAGTGATCCCGGGGACATGCACACACACAAGAGGAATGTGTGAGCCGAGCTTGACCGTGAAGGGACAAGAAAAAAGTCCCTGCCCAAGCTGGAGGAGGAGCAGGTGATGGAAGCACGGCCTCTGCGCGAGAAACACACAGGTCCTCTCCCTCCTCCTCACCCGCGCTTTGAGTTCGGAACTGCAGCCGACCACGTTCTCGGGCGTGGCACTACACCGCCTGCACACCCGCAAGCCTCATGAGTGTCTAGTCTAACAGACCACTTTGCTCTTGCTCAAGTCTCTCTGCACTGAGACATACAGGACTGTGGTTCTGGAGTCCTTGGAGACCCTCAAATGACACCAAATGGTGTCAATTGGGCCACTAAGTTCTCTCATGCCAAACGCTGCAGCCAAAACAAAACAAAACCCCACAAATTTATCTGACACGGTTCTGTAGGTTCAAAGTCCATCGTGGGTCTCACTGGACTGCATTTCCCCTTGGAGGTTTTAAGGGAGAGTGTTTCCACGCCTTTTCTCGGCCTCTTCAGGATGCCCGCCTCTCCTGGCTCGGGGCTCCCCCCTCCTCCAAAGGCAGCCAGAGGATGGAGTCCTTTCCAAACATCACTCAGCCCTCCTCACCAGCCTCCCTCGTCTCCTTGAGGCCCCCTGTGATTAACTACACTGGGCTCACTGGGTAGTCCAGGAATCCTCTCCCTGTCCACGTTTTTATTCTTCAGGTTTTTTTTTTGGCTGCACCATACTTGAGGCATGTGGGATCTTAGTTTACTTGTCTTATTTAAAGGCCAGCTAAATAATAATCTTAAATTTCACCTGCCACCTTAATTCTACCATGTAATATAATACATTCAGAGTTTTTAGGGATTAGAACATGAACCCTTTTGGAGGGCTATTATTCTGCCTACCACAAGCACAATTCTACCTATAACTTGCATTAGCCAAAACTCACATATTATCACTTAAAAATAACTGATGATGAAAAAAAAATAAATAAATAACTGATGAGTATCATAATGATCTTAGCTAATACTACAAATTTGGCTTCTGATTTACAGATTCAAATAAATCATATTTATGGTCAGCACAGAATTAAATAATACAAATTTTATCAGATAAACACAGTGTATTCATCTCACCCTTTCTAATTTTTCAGGTATAAGTTCTTCTTTGAGACCACTACTGTCTTCTTCTTCATCCCGTTTTTTCTTTTGATTTTTTGGTTGATGTTCCCTTTCCACATGCTTTCTCTCTTCTTCTAATTTAGCCTTTTTCTGAGCTCTTCTCTGCTTGCTAAGCATTTTCTTCAATTCTTTGGCTGACAGGTTTTCTATAAATATTCAAGTCAATGAAAACTCTGAGTCAGTGTTCTCAATTTCCTCATATTCTTATTCAATGCATACTATTAGTATATATGGGCTTCCCTGGTGACTCAGAAGGTGAAGAATCTGCCTGCAATGCAGGAGACCCAGGTTCAATCCCTGGGTTGGGAAGATCCCCTGGAGAAGGCAAAGGCTACCCACTCCAGCATTCTGGCCTGGAGAATCCCATGGATTATGGTCCATGGGGTTGAGAGAGTCAGACACAACTGAGCAACTGTCACTAGTATATTTGGGGGGGTGGGGAGGCAACTGTATACACGTTTTTAGACAGTGAATTCCTAATGATTAACTTACACCTGGCACACCAAAGGCAACAGCAAATGCTGCATCAACTAAAATTAACCAGCTCTAGCCTAGCCCTTCCTCCTACACAATACATGGGCTTATTAGGCAAATCCTCTCTCTCAATCTCAAGTCCCAAACTGTATAGAGTGGAGTTGAAGATTATCCTTCTGGAAAAATTCAAGAAGTGAGACAAAGCACAAAGGCACAAGTGATCTGATCAGAAATCTGCTTTCATGCCACAATTTCTCAAATATTCTTGGGTATTGACATGTTAGTGAGTAAAAGGTTGTATACAGATATTCTCATTGGCATTACTATTTTCAGTCAAGTAGATATTAGAAGCTGTACAAATATATTTTTTTCTCTAAAAACCTCAGTTATTTTCAATCACTACTTAAAAAAAAACAAAACAAACAGCCAATAAACATTATCAGTTACAGGACAACACCCTATCAACTTTTTCTAAGTCTTCCCCTACTTTTTTGGGGGTATATCCGTTATCTAATTTTGCCTTCACACTCATTTGATAATACACTTTTCCATCATTATGCTAATGACATTCTGAAACTCTGTGTTCTTTCCAAGTCTCTTTAAGCAAGTCCCTTTTTAGTTACCTGAATTCCTCTCTTGTTGTTTGCTTTCACTGGTCAAGGGATTATCATACAACTTCAAGTATATTTCAATAGCTGATCTAGCGGCCTTGAAATAAAATCCATGTCTCCGGAGTATATCTTCTAATCTCAAAAGATCAACGTAGGCCCGAAGGGTCATCTTTCTCATGCAGTAAGTATGGAAGTCAAACTGGTCGTCGGTTATCTCAGAAAAGTGCTTGAAAAGAAAACCACAAAGTTACCCCTTACATTTACGTCAATAACGTCTACTTTTTGAAAAGACAATCATAAAAAGCCCGTAAGATAATGTAAGCAGTCACAATTTCACTTAGTTGCCCTCTCCAGGGTTTAACATACAAGGGACCTCAAGTGGTTCTTTGCATTCAGCTTAAGCTTCTCTTCCTTACATTCTATCCCCATTCCCTATAAATCAAGTTTCATGATGATACCCAATTTATATGCAGTAAGTCAGATGAGGGGAACTTCCTGGCAGCCTGGAGGAAGAAACGGCAACCCACTGCAGACAGAGGAGCCTGGCGGGCTACAGTCCATGGAGTCACAGAGAGCTGGACACAGCTGAGCACCAGCAGTGAGGACTTGGTGCTTTCCACCCTGGCTGGGGAACTAAGATCCCGCAAGCCATGTGGCACAGCCTAAAGAAAGAGCCAGATGCCCAGGTTATTCTTTAAACCTGGAAATTAGACTATATCAATATTTTAGTTTTAACAAATACTTCTCAGTATTCCCTCAAAATCAGCAAGGTAGAGTTAAACAGAGCTGTGAATGGAAACTAAACATATACAGGTTTACACTGAATGTCTATACATCAGATGGTTCTACTCAACCATGAACTCTTCAAGGACAAGCCTGTCACATCCATCCCCACTCCCTGGCACAGGGCCTGGCACAGAAGACATTCAGTAAGCGCAGTATGTGCCAACTCAAGAGAGAAGCTGCTTTTCAGGCATGTGACTTCTTAATTCCTACAGCCTCAATTATTTAGCCTAAGTTAGGAATAAAAAAATATATAGAGCCAATCTCATATGTTGTTAGGGGATCAAGTAATTATTTTAAAGTTCATTCTAAACAGTAAACTGCTTTACAAGCAGGGTGTTATGGTTTTCTTTCACTCATTAAACTCCTGTTCATCTAACTGTATCCCATTTTAGCAGAAAGTTCTTAATCTGGACTCTTGTGTATAAACAAGCACAGTAACATTTTCCTAAGGAGAGAGCTTGAGGGTTTCAACCAATTCTCAAAGGGTTAAGAACTAATCCCTTACATGAAAGAAAAGATGAGTAAATCTCCCAAAAAACAATTTATACTTTTATTTTCTTCCCTACGTGCATCTCCACCTCCATCTTCTTTCTTTTCCCCTACTTTAGGTTCTCCAAAAACATATAGAAAAATGAATGATTCATTACAGAAACACAGATCAAACTCTTCTACTACTTCATCACCCTCTGTCCTGGAGGCCTAGTAACTCATTGTGCAGAAAACACATTAGTAACTGCCCATATCATTCGATAATTTTAGTTGTCTTGGTAATCAGAAATACATTATACACAGACTTGCATTAAGAGCCTGATATTCTAAAATACTAACATAAAAAGAATAAACGTACACAGTGTGAGGGAAAGAAATGGGGGAAAAAATGACTATTTCACATTAGTTTATATTTACTACTTCACAAACCATGCTTTAATGTTATATTTGAAAGTTTCATTCCTCCCATCAATGAGACAAATCAAATAACTTTTTTTTTAATGAAGGAATTATATAATTGTTCATGGTTAATATAAATCAAGTGATACCTAGCAGTATAGTATCTCAAAATCCAATACAACTGACTGAGGAAAAAGGGCAGTGCCCTAAATCATGGAACACATAATGAGATGGAAATGTCTAACAGGCTGCAGTTTTCTTAGGGTGAGAAACATTTATGTGTAAAAAAAAGGCAGATGCAAGCTTCAAGAGACATTCCTAGAACATTAGGTTTCAGTGAGGTCTTGAGGGAGCCGCGTGGACCCACAAACATGTAAGCCGCCTCTTTATCAGTAACCGCCCATAGGCTGCCTCTCTCCAGTCACCGTCTTCCAGAAACAAAGCAACCCACTTATCCTAGTGTGTCTGAGGTTTTCTCAGTTCTTGTGCTCAAAGTCCTGTGTCTCAGGAACCTGCTCGGGAATGGCAGATTCCTACTTAAGAGCAACTAAATCATCTTAGGCTGATTTTTTAACTTTTCATTTTGAAATAAACACGGATAAAGGAAGCTGCAAAGATGGTGCAGGGATGTCCTATATCCTCTTTCCTCAGTGTCCCCACCAGGTTACATCCTACAGTTAACCACCAGCACGAAGAACTGAGATGGGTTTGACGTGTGTGAACAGTTTCATGTGACTTTATCATCCTTAGATCGTTATAACTACAAGGCAGGGAGCACAGGTTCAACTCCTGGGTGGGGAACTAGGATCCCACATGCCGAGGGGCAACCAAGCCTGTGAGCCGGAACTGCTGGGTCCATGTGCCACAACTGAGAGAAGCGTGCATGCCGCAACAAAGATCTCGCATGCAACTAGGGCCTGACACAGCATAAACAAACAAGTAAAAGAAGTAAGAGCTAGACCAACCAGGGCAGAGAGCAACTCTTAATTCCTTTATAGAGAATCTGTCGCTATAAAGTAAGTGTCAACTTGATAAAGATTAAGACGCAATGAAGATAAAGTTACAGGCTTCCGTGTGGCTCAATGGAAAAGAATCCACTTGCCCATGCAGGAGACATGGGTTCGATCCCTGATCCAAGATCCCACATGCTGTGGAGCAACTAAGCCTGTGCGCCCCAAATACTGAGCTTGTACTCTAGGGCCCTGGAACTGCAACTGCTGGAGCCTGTGCTCTGCAACAAGAGAGGCCACCACAGTGAGGAGCCACGCGCTGCACCTAGAGAAAAAGCCCACACAGCACTGAAGATCCGGCACAGCCATAAATAAATAAAACCAACAGGAATAAAGTTACGAACGCCCTATGGTTTTGATCTACTGGAAACCTTAGATCTTATCAAAAGTTTTAGAAATATGCACTGCTCCTCTCAGATGTAAATCAACACACTAAAATAATGAGAAACTAATCACCTGGGAAAAAAGGGGGGAAAAGCTCAATTCTTAAAAGAAAAAAGTTAAAAATATTATTCTGAACACAAGTTTATAGCCAGTAGCCTGAAGGTGGTCATTCTGTCTTATTTTTAATAAAACGTAAGCTCTAAACATCAGATCGGGTTGACTACATAATCACTACATGTAATCTTAAACCCTGTAAGGAAGGCAAGAAGAAGACAGAAAAAGTACTACAGTGGACCATTCTAAAATTCTAACATTTCAAATCCAATTAGTAAGAATGCAAAGCAGTATGTCCTAAGCTGAAACTGCCTTCAGTGAAAGAATTCTTGAAGGCAGAAGAACTCAGTTCTTCTTGGAACTTAGTTCTCTATTCAATAACCTTCTATTTAGAAGGTCAACAGAAAAATTATATACATATATATATATATATATATAAAATTTTTTTTGCCACACAGAGCATGCAGGATCTTAGTTCCCTGAACAGGGATTCAAATTGTGCCCCCACTGCATTGGCAAAGCAGAGTCTTGACCACTGGACTGCCAAGGAAGTCCCCAAAGTTTTATTTTTGAATAAGGTGCTTGTTTTTTAACTAAAAAAATTTTTTTTCATTTATTTTTATTAGTTGGAAGCTAATTACTTTACAATATTATAGTGGTTTTTGCCATACATTGACATTAATCAGCCATGGATTTACATGTGTTCCCCATCCCGATCCCCCCTCCCACCTCCCTCCCCATCCCATCCCATCCCTCTGGGTCTTTTTACTAAAATATTTAAAACCCAGGCACAAAGGTAACCCAAATAGGTATCTGTTGTATCTTTTAATTCTGTAATTACACCTAAATCCTTACAATTGTTATCAAGAATTTTCTTTTAGATTACATTAATGTTATTAGAAACTAATTTCAAGGAGCTCCCTGGCAGTCTAGAGAATAAGAATCAGCCTTCCAATGCAGGGGGACATGGGTTCCATCCCTGGTAAAGGAACTAAGACCCCACAGGCCTGGAGGCAACCATGCCTGCTCAAGACAGGGAGAGAAGCCAGCGCGCTGGAATGACCGAGCCTGTGCGCTACAGCCGCGCGTCACAACCACCGAAGCCACGCTTCACACAAGAAGCCCTCCCACTACAACTAGAGAAGCTTCTCTGCGCCGTGACAAAGGCCTGGTGCAGCCAAAATGAGAGAAAGAAGTTAATTATTTCAGAAGCATTCAATCACCCTATTTGTAATCTATACTAATGTTTTTCCTTTTAGCATGAATTACTCACTATAAAGATGACCTTACAAGCGGAATATGAATAGGATCTTTTCTTGTTTATCTGCCTCTGGTTATATTTTGAAGTACCAACAGCAAACCCTAAAGATACTTAGTAAAGTTTCCAATGATGATAATTACATAACATAACCAGAGGGTAATGATTTCTACCATCTCTGATAACCAGCGATTGCCTATAATTTTTTTTCCTTCAAAAATGCTTTCTACCAGTCAAAACACATTTCTCAAATTGGAAATACAGTTGCCCCTTGAACAATACCATGTGGGCCCACTGATATGTGAGTTTTTTCCAACAGTAAATACTACAGTACCACATGACCATGGTTGGTTGCATCCATGGATACAGAAGCAGGGATACATAGGAACCATGTATACAAAGGACCAACTGGAAGTCACAGGGAGATTTTCAATTTCCCAGAGGGTTGTCACCCCAATATCCACTCTGTTCCAGGGTCAATTGTAGTTATTCAAAATCACTAAAAACTCAGGAGAAAGCATAATCTAAATGAAACTTAGTAATGGAATAGCTAGTAATCATAGCCTAACAATGTTTTAACAAAAAACATTAAAAAGAATAAAGTAGTCACTAATGTTAGGAGGAATGGGACTACAGATGAAGAAGTTCCCAATGATCCCAAGGTGTTCAAATCTGATTTCCACAGAAGTCTGATCAACCTCTAATTACTGTCGTGCTGGAAGAACTCATACGTGAGTTTCAAGCTACAGCTCCTTGAGAATGTCCTGGGTAACAGAAATGCATCTTTCCCTAGTAACGAGCAGAACGTTTTTAAAGTAACGATTGTCTAGGATGTCAAAACAAGCTAGTGATCTATGGTTTGGTCACAGAAATAAGAGCCTGACTTAAACTTAGGATGCTTAGATATTGCCTGAATAGTTCACCTATCATCCAAAGGCTTTACAGTTTCTGAGAAGATGACAAGGGTTTTCCCTGACAATCAGCCATCAAGTTTAGGCTTAAAAAGCAAAGAACAAAACAAAACAAAACAAAGCAAAAACCACCCTATTTCTGAAAGGGCTCTAGTGGAATCCTAGTTCCAGCTCCCGACCAAAGCCACCCCCAAGAGGTCCAGCCTTCCTCTGGGCAACTTCACAACTGTCACGTGGGGAAGAAGGCCAAAGTGCTGCCAGGGTGCAGACCGCAGGCTCACCTGACTGCGCCAGCTTGGGGCGGGGCTGCCGAGTGACCCCCGGCCGAGGGCTGCCGAGGCCTGCCTCGGGGGTGCATTGCGGCTCTTTTCCTCCCGTGGTCCATTTGGAAGGAGAGTGCTTCAGAGATGACAAAGAACAGGAAAACAAAAATTCACACACAAGGAAAAGAAAAGCCCCCCTTACTAAGGCACATCGCACACATGATCCTAGCAAGTCATAACATAAGCCTGCAAGCCAGCCACACGTTGGGTACAAAAGTGCAGCAGGTGAGAACAAACATCCTGGGAAGACGAACTGGAGAGAGGCTGACTACAGAGCAGATCCTGACACAGAGCGGAAAGAGGTGGCCCTCGGCTTGTGCATCTTTCCAGGCTGGGGATGGAAATCAACTAATGGTCCGATTAGGAAAGAGAAATTTTGAGTACATGTTAGTAATAGCAACAATAACTTAACTAATCCTTCTCTTCCTGCTTCAGACAAAAATATGCAGACATGTCTACCTCATTACCGCCTGAGGATCCAAAGAAAGGAATCATTTATTCACAATTTCTGAATGTTTGAAAGGCTAAAGATAGAGAATTTTTTCACAGTGAAGTGTTCCAAAGTCGTTAGAAGAGGTAGATGAGCCCATGTAGCAATCTACCTGCTCTTCTGGTCACCTGACAGGAGAAAAATGAGGCCCAAACTCTTGTTAACTTACCCTTTCTACTTCATGGCACTTTTTCAGAGCATCCCCGTACCTTCCCAGGCGCTGGTAAGCTGAGATGCACTCTGTCTGAAACCACATGCACTGCATCTCATTTAGGTTCTCCATGGCAGACGTCCCTTCCTGAAATGGAAGCAATCACAAATAAAGGAAGCAAATAATACCAGAGATCCTAAAAACCCCGTTTTCTCTTTTACAACAATGTCTATGAGGATTACGGTAACAGTAAGTAGCAGTGACAAATTATATAATAAACACATCAATGTGCTTCCAAAAGGCTCCGAGCACCTTAAAACTGTATGTCTATTCACCCAGCTCTAGAGACAGTCAACAACCTACACAGAAAAGACTACAGGTTACTGAAGCCAAGTTTGAAACACTGAAGCTTTTACTTAACCTATTTAAGACAGGGATCCTATGAAGCACTGCCTATCTTTTGTCTATTAAGCAAAAGCCACTTAACATTTTCCTTGCTGACTTAGGACCACTGCTTTTTACAACATTGTTTTCAAATCTCTTCACAGTAGTTTCAAGCCCGGTTTTCAGCTTTTCAAGTCTCCTTCCTCCACATCAAGGCATCAGTTGTCACTTTCTTTCACAACTATGTCTATGAGGATTAGTATGACAATAAAGAGTAATAATGAACTATATAATAATACATTAAAAAATTTTTAAAAAGAATATTCATTAATTCAGGCTCAGTGTGTTTTCTAGGAGAATGTAAAGCACAGAGTACCTGGTTTCAGCACAGGGACACTAGAGCTTCGTCATAATTTAGAACAGTTATTTAAAATGTATTTTATGTGACCCCAAGAAAGACAGCAAAGATATGGGTATATTTACATAAGGTTAGTCTTCATTTCTTTTTCACACCCACTGTTTAAGTTATCAGTTTAATTTTCAGAATTCTCACTGAAAGTATAAAAACAAGTTATCTCTGGGTAAATTAAAATTATGGTGGTATTTTATGTCTTCTTCATGGCTACAGATACTCCATCATTTGGTAACTACATATGTTTATAAGAAATCTACTGTATTTTTCATTTCAAAACTCAACCAACTAGAACTAACCAACCTGCATCAGCAACTCTACAAATACTATAAACTGAAAAATCTGCACGAAGGAAATAGGAGCATTTCACTTACATGTTACAAAGCAGATATAAACTGATACCGCAGTCATCAGCAGCTCTCCTCCCCCGGCTCACTGCTACCCACCACCATTAGGGACACGCCTGGCCAGCGAAGCAGCACGGATAAACTACCAAGCTCTCTACACGGCACAGCAACCTGTCAACGGTGGATGACTGGAGGCAACTATGATGAGCAAGGTGAGCCCGACTTTGGGGCCACTACTTTCCTCAGAAAGCTCAACTTCCCCCTTCTTTCTCATTCTCCTGGGTCTTTTCAGACATGTCCTAGTTGGCTGTGGTTTGCTGCGTGGGTGCTTTGTTGTTGTTGTTTTTTAACCACTGAACTTATTTAGCTTAAATATCCTCATTTCTAATTGCACTTTACTTCTCATCTCTACAGGGCCTCCCAGGTGGCTCAGTGGTAAACAATCTGCCTGCCAATGCAGGAGACACAGGAGACAGATTTCGATCCCTGGGTGAGGAAGATCCCCTGGCAAAGGAAACAACAACCCACTCCGGCACTCTTACCTGGAAAATCCCATGGACAGAGGAGCCCAGCAGGCTACAGTCCATGGGGCTGCACAGAGTCAGACACGACTGAAGCAACTTTGCACGCACACACCAGAAGCACATGCACACTCATCAACCACAGTAAGAAATCACACTCAGCATATGAGCTAAACAAGATCAAAAAAAGGATGACAAAGGTGAATTCTGAGGAACCAAAGCAGCAAACTTCACATATCACCAGAGAACTTAAGTTTAATTTTACTAACTCAGAGAATGACATGCTATTTCTTACCCTTGTGAACTTGGAGCACATTTCCTCTGCTTCCTTTATCATATTTGCCCGAAGCATATATTTTGCACATTTGGAGTTGATGAATCTATCAGCCGTATCCAAAGACTGAGCTTCATCCATCCACTTGACAGCTTCTCTGAGATTACCCATATGCTTTAAGAGATGAGAGTATTAAAGACATCTCTGTTATGATTAAGAGAATATGGGTATGATATAACAGAAAAAGTTCTTAAAGACAAATTAGAAATCTGTTACATTTCTGTCAAATCTATCGAGAAATTTTTAGATACATTAAAATTCATATTTACTCAGAGCTGAATGAAACGATTAACACTGACTATATGACTATGCAACATAAAACTCCTTAGCATTATTAGCATATTGGGAATAAATAATCAGGGTGCCCTAAAAGTTATCTCCACACAGAAAGAACTCCATGGGTCCTTAAAATGGCCAAATTCTTCAACTATTCAAAAAACATGACCAAGATTTTACCTTGTAAATTTTTGCTTTCATATAGAATAATTCTATTAGAGTTGGAGTGCCAGCAATTGCAGCATTAATATAATCCAAAGCCAGAGAATACTGCCCAAGCTTATCGAAGTGCTGTGCCAGGAAGTACTGAACCCAGAGAAGTGTTGTCGGGGGCTCCTTCTCCCCATTCTCTGCAATCAAACACACACAATTATTACAAGGAATGAGGCAAAGTGAAGCGACTCACTTGCTTTCTTTCTCCCCGTGCATAATGAAATCAATAACTATTACCAAAAAAATCCCGTAAAAATCACCAACTTCAACAGAAAGAGATACAACCTCAAGTCACAAAGTTCAGAAAGCAGCAGCCAAGCAGAGGAATGATGCTGGTTTCACAAGCTTCTACCTATACCTCACGCCAAAGAAGAGTCTGAGGAGAAGAGGCAGATCAACCTAACTCGACGAATTCTCAGGCAGACAGCATTAAGGCAGCAGGTCCAGGAAAAGCCAGAGAAAACAGTCTGGAGAAAACATGTCCCTAACCACCACAGTAAAACTTCCACAGAGGCAAGAACTGCCGGGGCTTACGTGGATCATCCAGGCCTCGACACAAACCAGGGAAACCCAAAGTTGAAGGGTATCAGGAGAGTACACTCTTGACAGTATGGCCACAAACAACCATCCGACCTCTATCTGGCTCCCCGTTCTACCCTGAAACTACAGAAAACATGAAATACCTAGCTCTCAAAATGGGTATCAGAAGGGAAGACACACAGGTATAAGATGAGGTAGGAAGAGCAGAAAGGAGAATTTACTCGTTACCTCAGAAGACAAGGTCTCCTAGACTAGCTGACCAAATGAAGTGACAATGCAAACACACAAATTAACATAAATTAAGACACAAATAATAAATATAAGCAAAGAGTCAAGCATTTATCTTGCTCCTCTCATATACACTCTATTTCAGGGGGGGTCAAATGTCTGAGGAGGAAAAGTTCTTTTTAAGAACTCCAGCTAATTATTAATAAAAGCAGAAGGAATGATGATCAGAATGAAACAAGGGACCAATGCAATTTTTGCAGTGGCTGCAAAAATCACTAGGTAAGTGACCAATAAGAAACACTGCATGGCCAGATTAGGCTGACAAACATCTAAATTCTGATGAGTCTTAGTTTCAGAAAAAGAGAGACAACCAGAAGGCCTTTGGCTTTCAAATGTGCTATAACAGGAAGTTCAGAGTGTCACTGATGAAGTATTCACATGGAACCCGAATCTAATCAAGCTTATAAACCTAGGGGACTTCCCCAGAAGAACAGTGCTCAGGACTCTATGCTTCCACTGCAGGGGCACGGGTTCAGTCCCTGGTCAGGGAACTGAGATCTTGTATGTTGTACAACACAACATGCATGACAGGGGGGAAGAAAGAGCCTATAAATCTAACTCGAAGTTTGTAAGAAATATGGATAACAGCAAGATGTATTAAATGATACCATGAGAAAACAGTCAGCGAAATTCAAAGCATGGTGCGTTACACAAGACAAATGACCTTTCAACAAACAGCCTTTAAAAAAGGGGGCGAAAGGAAGGACAGGAAAGTACCACTCAAGATGAAAAGAATATCAGAAACATAACAAACAAATGTAAACTGTGGACCTAAGTTGGATCCAGATTCAAATAAACTGATTATACATTTCTTTAAATAATCAGGAAAATTTAGGTGTTAAGATATGTGGTATGAGAGTTAATTTTGCGTAAGACACACTAGGGCTCCCCCAGTGGCTCAGCAGTACAGAATCCACCCACAGTGCAGGAGCTGCGGGTTCGACCCCTGGGTCAGATCCCCCGGAGGAGGGCACAGCAGCCCACTCCAGTGCTCCTGCCTGGAGAGTCCCATGGGCAGAGGAGCCTGGCGGGCTGCAGTCCATCGGGCCACAAAGAGTCAGACACGACTGAGCACATGAACACAAAAGTACAAAGAACAAAAACTAGGAATTCAGGAAAAATACATCTTAACGTCAACTACTGGTCTTGGTCAAACTACTCAGCCACTTGGTTCTGTTTACTCATATTAAAGTGGGGCTAACTCCCACCTCACAAGATTACGGAAGTTTTTAATTACTTTAGATTGCAAGTGCTCTTCTCATTTCATTCACTAATTCGAAAACTAGTGAACAGCTATCATGTAGCACATAATGAACATAATTTTACTGTGATTAAAAATGGACTGAAATGAGTAATCAAATTTCAACTCAATCTAATTTAAACTTACCGTAAGGGCTAAAAAAGTCACACGTTTTAAGAGAGGTTTCATAATTAGTAACAAGCTCCTGGATTATGGAAATCTGTTAAAGAAACATAGTTTTAAAATTTAAAAACCTTTTATGAAAGTATTTTATTTATTATGGATTAAATTAGATTTGGAAACAATATACAGTTTATTTCAGAACAATAACTATAAATTGAGAAGCCTGCTTTCCCCACCCCCACCCTCCATGCTGGAGAGAAAATGAGAAAAACACAGAAAATGTACTGTTCTCTTTATTAATAGTGAAACAGAATCTCATTAATTTCTCGTATCAATAATTAGTTTCAAATTATGAAACTAATGGACAAATTATCACTAGTTACCACATACTCCTTTTTTTTCTTCTTGCTCAATGAATACACCTGTATAATTTATTAACAGCTTATTGCTTTTTGCTCCCCACTGTTACAGGGTGAAGTCGTAAGAGATTATATTCTCAGATTTTCTAAAATGTCAATACAAAAAAAAGTGAAATAATCTAAACCACACAGTGAATTGATGGAAGAAGTAAACTCATAATTAAATGTTTAAAACTGTTTACAGTGATCATTTAAATCAATTTTCATTCCAATGCTATACTTAGGTAGGACTAAAACATCATAAGCTACACTGCAAACATGCTATGCTCAGAAAGTACAAAAGAAAAGTGACATGAATTAGAAGTGGCAGGAAAAAAGTAGCTTCTATGTTACAGTTCGCTTTAAATATCTGTTGATGTTACCTGTTCAGAATGCATCAGAAAATACAGCCATCTTATTTATGAACTTCAGAAAAACAGAGGTCAAAAGTGAAGAAAAACCATTAAAATGTGTAACAGTATGTGATCAATATAGTATTATTTTAATACCATCCCACTGACAGCAGTCAAAAAAACAAAAGGTCAAATTAAAACACTTCTCAGGCCTATGTATCTTTCTGATAAGAATATTGCACTATGTGGTATAATTCTCTCAGATAGAAGGGCAATAAGGAATATGTGGGATAATATATTAGTAGTAGGGGGAAATATGTAACATAAAAAAAAAATGAAAGAATTTATACTCATTACTGAAAATATGACCAAATGCATTAAGGCAGTAGAAGATGAATACAGTCTTAAAAAAAAAACAGTTAACAATAATGTTGTATTAGTAAGACATTTATAACAAAGATCATTTTAAAAGAATGGTTACTAAAGTCTGAATAAACCTACATCTAGTAAGGAGACCGAATAAGAAATCAAAACCTATCAACAAAGAACAGCCCTGGACCCTATGGCTTCAATGGTGAAATCTACTGAACACCAAACTAGAAACTAACACCAAACTTTCCAAAAAAAACTGAAGTGAAGGGAACACTTCCAAACTCATTCCACGAGGCCAGCATTACTCTCATACCAAAATCAGAAAAAAACACCACAAGAAAACTACTGACCAATACTCATGAAGAATACGGATGCATATCCTCAACAAAATACTAGCATACAGGCCTCAGCAGCATGCTAAAAGGATCACCCACCATGACCAGGAGGAATTTATTCCTGGAATGCAAGGATGGTTTACCTTAAAAACTGATCAATATAACATGCCATATCAACAAAATTAAGGAAAAAAAACCCATGTAATTATCTTTATTGCTGCAGAGAAAGTATGTGATAAATTCCACCACTCTCTCATTATAAAAACACTTACTGAACTATAAAATAGGAGGAAATTATCTCAATATAATTGATGACAAATATGAAAAAGCCAAAATGAACATCAGACTCAATGGGGAGAGACTGAAAGTATTTCCACTACTAAGATTAACAACAAGGCAAGGATGCTTGCTTTCATCACATCTACTCAACACAGTTCTGCAAGTCCTATTGCTGGAAGGCAAGAAAAAGAAAAGACATCCAAATTGTAAAGAAAGATGAAGCAAAATTTTCTCTGCAGATGTTTCACAAAAAAACAGTAAGACACAGAAAGTCAGTACACAAAAATCAGCTGCACTTTTCCAAATAAACAATCTGAAAAGGAAATTACTAAATCAACTTCATTCACAACAGCATCAAAAGAATAAAATACTTAGAAATAAACTTAACCAAGGAAGTGAAAGGCTTATACAATGAAAACTATAAAACACTTGCTGAAAAAAATTCAAGAGGACATAAATAAATGGAAACACATTCCATATTCATGAACTGGAAATTTTAATATTATTAAAATAACAATACTACTGAAAGTGACCTATTAATTCAATGCTATCTCCATAAAAATCCCAATGCTTTTTTTCCAGAAATAGACAAGCCCATTCTAAAATTAACATTTGGACTCTCAAAGAAACCATATAGCCAAAACAATCTTTAAAAAGAACAAAACCAAGAAGACTCACTTCTAATTTCAAAACATACCACAAAGCTACAGTAATTAAAAAATACAGTATGGTACTAGCACAAAGACGGACAGAGACTAATGGAATAGAATCTAGAGCAGAAACAACACTCACATAGGTAATTTTTTACAAGGGCATTAAGACCAATCAATGAAATAAAAGTCTTTTCAATAAATGGTATTGGGAAAACTGGATATGCACATGCAAAAGAATGAAGGTGAACTTAACCTAATTCCATATACAAAAATTAACCCAAAGGACCAAAGACCTAAGTATAAGACCCAGAACAATGAAACTCTTAGAAGAAAACATAGGACAAAAGCCCTACAGTATCAGGTTTGGCAATGATTTCTCAGCTATAAACCCAAAGGCACAGGGAACAAAAGAAAAAACTGACAAATTGGACTTCATGAAAAGTGAAAAATGTGTACAACCAGATGTCAGCCACAGAATGGCAACCCACAGAATGGGAGAAAATGTTTGCAAATCATGTATTTAATATGAGGTTAGTATCCAAAATACATAGAGAACTAAAATTCAAGAACAAAAACCCCATTCAATAATGTTTGATAAAATACTTAATAAACATTTGTTAAAGATATACAAACAGCCAGTAAGCACATGAAAAGATTTGCAACATTACCTGTCATTAAGGAAATACAAGTCAAAACTACGATGAGATGCCACCTCACACCCAGGAGGATGGCTATCTAAAAACAAACAAAAGAGAACAACAACTGTAGACAAGGATGTTAAAAAAAAAAAAAAGGTAAACTCTGTGCCCACTGGTGGAAAATGGTACCGCTGCTGTGGAAAACAGTATGGCAGTGCCTCAAAAACTTAAAAGCAGGACTACCAAATGATCCAGCAATTCTACTTCTGCTGTATATCCAAAAGAACTGAAAGCAGATCTCTAGGAAATATCTGTACACCCATGTACATAGCGTTGCTCATAACTGTCAAAATGTGGAAGCAACCCAAATGTGGTAGAGACATAAGACAGGTATTATTCAGCCATGAAAAGGAAATTCTGCAATGTGTTACAACATGGATGAACCTTGAGAACATTATGCAAAAGGAAATATTCTAGTCACAAAAAGACAAATACCATATGATTCTACTTATATGAATTACTTAGTCAAAATCATAAAGATGTAAAGTTTAATAGTTGTTGCCAGGGGCTAGAGGGAGGGAAAAACAGAGTTACTGTTTAATGGGTACAGAGTTTTATTAATAGTGCCACAAGATAAAAAGAATTATGGGGATGGATGGTGGTCACGGTTACAAAAAAAGCTGAATGTATTTAATACCAGTAAATCATACACTTAAAAAAATGGTCAACATCGTAAACCTTATGTTAAGTGTATTTTGCCAACAACAAAAGTGGTTTTAAAGGCACAATCCTCTGACCATTAATATCATAAATGTTAACATTAACATAACTGGTAATTTTGTAGACATGCAAATTTCTAAGCAAACCCCACATTTATAGAATCAGAACCTGAGTCTAGTAACATTTTGAGCAAACCCTCTATAAATAATTCTAATATACCCAAGGGTTTGAGAACTGATTTTTTTAAATGCTGCAATAAGACTATTACTATAAAGCAAAATAAAAAGTAATAGGCATTTTTAAGCCATTGGAATTAATTTCACTCAGAGTATGTGTAACTTAAAAAAAAAATCTTCAGGTTCAACTTATGGAAATTCAGCACTCAACATATGGAAGCAAAAACTTTTTCATGAACTTATACTACCATCTACTGGCAGTTACTAAAACTGCAGCTAGAGTAGATTTTAAGCAGAGGTGTACCTTTTTGCATCTCTAGGGTGGAATACATTTTAAAAATCAGTTTTAATAATTTTAAAAAGTACAACAAAATACTGAAGCTACACATAATTCTTAAAAAAGGAGTGCAAATACTACTAAATAAAACAGAATCTCCAGCTTCAAAACTCAAAAACAAGACTTAATTGAGGGAATAAATCAAGGTAATGGAAAGTTCACATGAAATGTTCTAAATAAAAAACTGCAAAGATCACTGTCCTTTCTGGTTTACTGGCATATATACTGAATCTAAAAAATGTGTATTATAGTCACTCACTAAGTAATTAACTAAAAAATTCAATTTTCCAAACTTGTCTATGAAAGTTAGTCTAAGGAGTTCTACTGAGGTATAAAGGATCCATTTTACTTCAAGTTTACTTACCAATTATACTGCAATTATACTGTATAATTATATACTCAATTATATAGTTGTATACCATATAACTATAGTCAATTGTACAATATAACTGTACATTCAACTTCTTTCTTCTAAAACTTAATAAGTAATGGCTATTACTGAAAAGAGTATTTCCATTGGCATTTAAAATCAAGAAGTCCAGTCTTACATTAGGCATCTAATATCACAATAACACTTCAAGCCTCAAAATAGTTTAAAGTCATACAAAATTTTCTACGAGCTAATAATATTTCAAAGTTCAACCACGTTCTCCTGATTTAAATACTTTCTTCTAACAGTTATATTTGATCAGGATTGAAAAAGATTTGCTTTCACTAACCAAACCCAACATGGGCAAATGTGACTACTGTAGATAATTTCCCTAAATTACTGCCCTTAATCAGCTTTTCTTATATATGAGTTAGAATAATTCTTCATTAACCTTAAAGCAAAGGCC